CGAGAATCAACAAAATACGACATTCTGGGGACAAGATTGAACGAAGTTAATTCTAACTACAAAGCAAAATTAAAACTATGGGACCTCTATCAATCTAATTATCAAAGCAAAGTATGCAAGAAAAAATTTAAATTTCCCAAGAACAATATGTAACTATAGCAGTGCTAGAATATCAATTCACTTCAGTGCACAATTTCAGGTTGTCACCAATCAATCCTCAAGTGCCTCATACAAGCATATAGTTTACTAGCATATAATTCTCAGGTAAAAAACGAATAACAATTTTTTTTTTCAATGCGAATTTGCAGCAAAATATAAGCAAAACTTCCTTTTTCTTTTCGTTTTTTTTTTTTTAAGTCCCTAGCCCTAGGATAGATTGAAATCCACAACCGCAGTGCTCTGATACCAGATAATACGACCCTAGCTAATTAACAAGTTCTGATTACCAGATAATATGGACCCTAGCCAATTAACAAGTTAAACTTCTTGGGCAATATCAACAAGAAATCTAGTTGGAAAAGCATGCAATCACGGAGAGTACCCGTCAATCCCTTAACCCCCAAGTACTCTTGAAGCAGAGACAAAAAACAAGGAATTTAGAACAAGAATCAGAAACTTTCCTTCAAGTTACTCTTGGAAAACAACTCTTGAAATTCTTGGCGCATTAATCCTTGAGTAGAACTCACCAAGCCTACATTACTAAGGAAGATCGCGTTTCTTTCATTTGCAAGGGAAGAAAGAACACAGTCTGTTTCTTGAAGAACCCAAAGAAAACACGTTGGTTTTTTTGATTAATTTTCAAAGTGGCTACCCGTGCAGCTCTTACAATAATCATAAATTAACCTACGCTAACCCTTAAATTTAGCTATTAACTTAAGTTAGCCCAGGCCTAAACCTGAATAGTGGCCCAAATGGCTTTAATTAAAATACAAGTCCAAGCTACACTAATTAAAACAAGCCTGACTTTAAAACATTAACTAATCTTGGAGCTGGCCCAACTCTGGAAAATAAACCCAACAAGCTTTACGCCTGCATAATTAAGTCCACTAAAGAATTTTAAAACAAAAAACATGGAAATGGGCCAAGAGGCCACTTACACAACCCATAACTTAAGCTCATAATAAAATAACACTCCATCCCATAATTTGCCTAAAGTATTTAGAATCATGCCAAACTTCTTCAACAGGCAGCCTCTTTGACACTGGCCTTAAGCACCATTAACAAGCTTATGGTGTTTCTTCAAGCTTCGAATCTCACATCTTTGCAATAATTTATGATCTTGAAGCATCCAATGTTTGATTTGTTCTTGAGCAAATGCATTCAAGGATCTGCTCGTAGCTTGGTTTGCATGAGCTCTTGTGATTGGTTCCCACGTGGTAGATGCTCAGAGGAATCCTTCACCTTGCTCCCTTGATTCGCATTCAAGGCTGCTCGTAGCTTGGTTGCATGAGCTCTTGTGATTGGTCCCACGGGTAGAGCTAGAGGATCCTTCACCTTGCTCCCTTGATTCGTATCACCTCTTTTCTTCAAAAAGCTTGTCCTTAATAGCAATTCTCACTTTGTACACTTGGTAAAACTCCGTCAGCAACATGTAATACATCTTTTCACGATATGTTGGCAATGTACCTTTAATAAAGATCTTGATCTGCTCTTTAGTATCGAGTTTGTTTCTCATTTGAGTAACTTTGGTTCTCCACCTAGCCATATGCTCAGAAAAGGATTCATCAGCTTTCTGGGTAATAGTTTCTAAGTCTCTCAAATTGACGATCATTTATGAGTTATAAGCATATTCCCTTAGAAAGACCATGGTGAGTTCATTCTAATCCTTCCTTACCCTTTTCTCCAAGTTATAATACCATGTCTAGGCAGATCCCACCAATGACATTAGGAACATATTTAAGCTTTCCTTAGAAGGCAGACTGACAAGCACCATCATTGCCTTATATTGCATCACATGCACTTTTGGATCTCTGGTACCATCATATTTTGAAATTTTCAGCATTTTATAAATGAATGGAGTGGTTTCTTTTAGATCTAACTCTTCATCCTCATTAGCATATATATCCATGTACTGGTCAAGCCCCTTGAACTTCATGAATATGTTGATTTTCTCAATTTTCTTATCTATCTTCTCTAGCTTGTCAAGCTTCTCAAAAGGCATGGCTTCAGACTCAGCCTTTTTGCTTAATACCTTTTTGGTGAAAAATCTTCATGTTGCCAAGTGTCCTCCACTTGCTCCTCCTTTTCAGAATCACCCTTATCCTCCTAAAAACATAAATTTAAGTATCTGACATATTAGAAAATGAAATTAGCCTATAACATCAAGCCATCCCGGTCCACATCAAAGGAGAGATAAAAAGAGACCTGAGAAGGAGGAGGTGCAACAGAAAACCAAGATCCATAGCAATGAAGAGGGCACTGGACATGCCTCCAATGCATTTGATAAGCTTTTTGCCAACCCATGTTATAGAGAGAAAAAAAGCATGAGAACAGAGAGAGACCAATTACAAAAGATGAATGTTTGTAGTTGGAAAACCATAAAAATGACATCGTTTATGCTGAGAATGGAGAAGCTTTTTTCGTGTTGGCATAATTTTTTGTGCTTCACACTCCTATCTACGATTGACTACATGCTTCCATTTGCTAGCATGGATAAGTGCACAAATGATAAAAAAAAGTGAACTTCAGGTGCATAAGTGGCCCCTCGCAAACTTAAGAGTGTCGCATGTGAAAGTTCAAGGGCAATATATGTATTTGGCAATATTATTATTAATGAAATATATTTTTTTTAAAAAAAAACTATATATGCCAAATTTTCCTTTTATACAATATGGTAGTTTATATTTGTATAATAACTCCAATTTATGAGATAAGTTACCATGTGCATCTATCAGGAATAGCAACGAGTCAGGTACTCATTTAAAACATACTACCTGAATTCAAATTTGATTATAAATTAGCTAGTTGGACCCATTTAGAAATTCCTATTTAATACCCGAATTCGTCCGAAATCTGATTATAATTACCCGTTTAAATACTCAAAATCATTTAAATACCTATTTAGCATTAAAAGTTTTTTTTTATTTTCATTTTTCAAAATTAAAAAGTAATTAAAAATTATAGAATTTTTATTTTAACCTAATAAAAAATATAATATAAATATTAAATATAATTATAGCATTAATTATAACTAAAAAAGTGTATATATGTCATTTTTCTTTTGAAAAATAATTATTTTAAATATTTATTAAACGAGTAAAAAGTAATAGATACCCAAGTCCTTGAATCCAAACTTGATACGGTAGTACTTTTACCATGTGAACCCGTCCCAAATCTGATATGAGTAGTACTGAACTCGTCCAAAACTCATTTACTCACTACCCGAACTCAGCTAAAATCATATCGGATCAAATCGGTTACCTACCAGTCTTGTAAAATTGCTTTCCCTAGCATCTGCTAATAATTTTTGTTAAAAAAGAAAAGATATCCCGATGATTAGATTATGAATGTAAAATAATATGCATGTTTTTAAAAAAAAAAAAAAAAAAAAAAAAAAAAAAAATGATTAGAATTATGAATGCTAAAATAATATTGGCATGTTTTTAAAAAAAAAAAAAAAAAAAAAAAAAAAAAAAAAAGATAAATATCAATTATCTATATTGAAAAAAAAAAAAAAAAAAAAAAAAAAAAGATAAATATCAATTATCTATATTGGAAAGTATTCACTAAATAAGCAAGAAAAAAGAAATATATTTACATTCACTAAATTAGGATGGAACATTGTAATTCAACTCCATGGTATTAAAGATGCAACCCTGCATGAAAATGATGAAAGAAAGAACAGAGTTAACTTTTCAAGAGAAAGAAGAGAATTTAAAAATAGAAGCACGTGCATGCTGAAGAAGATAAAATAAAGAAAAACAAAGGACCTTAAAAAGTTGGAGAAAAAGTTCATTTTGGGCTTCCCTTACCTTTTTGTTTAGGTTTTAAGTGAAGAAAATTAAGAGAGATAAAACGACAAGTAAACCAAACCACAGTCAGAACAATTTCTTCTCCATTTTTAAAATATGTATGTATATGAAAAAAAAAAAAAAACAAGGTTTGAATGGTCTCTGCATAAATAGAAAAGATGCTGCTCTTCTTCTGCAAGCCTAGTGGCCCCCCCAGCTACTACCATCACTCCTCTTATGGCTCTGATTCTGATGCAGAGAGAGAGAGAAAAGATTATGAGAGAAATTTTGATGAATGGGATTTGTTTGTGTCTATGCGTTTGGAGACCCTGAGAGGGACGATTGAGTCTGCTTCTGGCATTAACCCTTACAACTGTGGCACTGAAAAACATGGCGTTTTACCTTTACATTTATATGAGACGACCAAAACAGCAGAGATAAAAAGGACTATCTAATCTCTCTCTCTTTCTCTCTCTCTTCGTATTGCTACTTTTCAAAGTTTAGGTTATAAATTCTGGTCGGTACTGCTGTTTATTGCTAGGGAGGGGTCACCTTCGGCTTATTATACATATGCAGATACTCCAAACAGATAATCCAAAACTTGAGGGAAGAGATATATCAGTGCTTCTGAGCTCATTCAATGAAATAGTTTCAGACTAGTAATAAATTTACCCTAATGAACAACGCCCCACTCCCATTCCTTATTTTTTAAATTCAGCTGCTCCCAGTAACTCGTCTTATAAATTCTAATTAGCTCATAACCATAACTATAATAACTTCTATTAACCAAATTAACGAACAAATAACATACATTATCACTTTTCAATCTTCAACACGGAACCAAATTTTTATATATGGAACCAAATTGTATATGAATATATATATATATATATATGATATAATATATATAAATCAATGGAAATGATAATGCTAATCAAATGAGAGGAAAAGAAAAAAAGAAGAAAGATAATTATATTAATAAGCAGGTATGAGTTACAAATTAATTAATCTTTATATATATAAATCAATGGAAATGATAATGCTAATCAATGAGAGGAAAAGAAAAAAGAAGAAAGATAATTAATATAATAAGCAGGTATGAGTTACAAATTAATTAATCTTTGCTAGATTAATTCCAGTAATATTGTTCTCTACTTGAGCCTCAGCTATAGCTGAAGACATGTAACTCAAAACCAAAGCGTTGTCATGTGGGGGTGTTGCTGCTTGAAATTGCTGTCTACAAGCATAACAAGTAATGTGGAGAATAGTGGAATTGATTTGCTTAATTGCATGTTCTCTTAGAGCTGAAGCCTTATCTAACTCAGATTGAGCTTGTTGTCTAATTCTCTTGGCATTAGCAAATTCTTGTTCCGCCAATTCAATCTGCCTTTTTGCGCGTTGTCTTGCCTCTTCAGCATAAGCCTTTTCTGCCATTGCCAGCCTTATTAACTGCTGCTCGCGTGCTTTCTCGCTTTCTGTATTTGATTCATTTCTCGACCCAATTGACAGATGCAACTGAGTTGAATGATTATCATCGATTTCGAGGAGATTTGCTGTGGTGGAAAGCTGTAGCTCCAAATTATAGTCTTTTCTATTTTGTATTAGCAAAGGAGCTGCACTGAAATTGTTATCATTAGAAGGGCTCGGACTCGAGGCAGTTCTAGACAAGCATGCAGCTCCCTGCGCTGTCTGTGATTGATCAGGTCGTAGCCGTCCCATATTGCAACTGTCTTGGTGCTCTATAAAACTCTCAACTCTGCAAACAAACATTTATTTTTTTTAGTTTTTTTTTTCCACATCTGAGAAATGGGTTATCTAGATGTCATGATTCTTGCAAAAAAAAAAAGAATATACCTAAATAGTTTTATATATATTATAGAGAAATGAATATTAGAAACAAAGTAAAAAGGACGGTCAAGTCATAAACACATTTAATAAACAATAAATTAGTAGTCTGTATGGAAATGGTGGAGAGATACTATTATATATACCAACTAAAAAGGAATAAAACAGTGGTAATGGCAACTGAAGCCAATCATTTACAAAAGAATGGTGAGATATAGATTTGCTATATTTTTTTTTATTTCTTTCATTAGTTAAAAAAAAAAAAAATCAAGCTACAAATAAGGAACAGTTTTGGGTTTTGAGCAGGCCAAAGGATTTTCTAGCAAACAGTGAAAAATAATAATACAACTATATATATACAACTGAATTTTGGGAACCGTGTAGAATAACTGTCGATAAACAGTAGTTAAAACCTGTCTTAAGGTTCCATCAATCAGAAACCACGCCAGAAGATGATAATGGACTTAGGACGAAAAAAAAAAAAGAAAATCACTCACAGCTTTTAAATTAAATCTGATTATGAGGAAGAAGAAGAATGAAGAGATTGAGATCTATATAACCTTGAGAAAACTCGGCCGCAATCGCAAGAATGGCCTCTGGTGCCACAAGTTTTGAGATGGGCTTTAAAATCAGATTGAACAGCATAAGCTTTGGAGCATTTATCACAGACCCACTGTTTGTGATTGCTATGTTTTCTTCTAAAGTGCTTCTTTATCCCGACAAGATCACCAAGGGCATGACATGGATCATGGTGCAAGCAAGAAGGCTCTGGACAAACAAAAACTCTCTTCCTCACCACCGGACTCTCTCTCTTTAGTAACTTCCATGGGACCTTATGTCTCCTTCTGTGCATCTGTAGGTTTTGGTCTCTCTGAAACCCTTGATTACAGATCTCACATACGTAACGGTCCGATTCGAGCAGTGTTTTTGGCGATAGAGAAACCACTTCAGCATCTGGATCTACATGGAAAGAATTCATACATACAGAAAAACACAAGGGAACAATATTAATTAATTAAATTATGAGAAAATTGAAAGTAGTTAATACCTGGAGTTCCTGCTGGTCTTCTTTTCTTCTTATTGTTGTTACTCCCGCCGTCCAAACAGGAAAAAGGATCAGAAGAAGAAGAGTTATTGGCTAACATAGGGTTTAATTGATTCTTATCTATGTTTCTAAACAAGATAATTCAAACCCTCAATCAGCAATAGGCCTAAAGAACCAAAGCTAATGAGATTGATATGCAGGAAGAGAGAGAGAGAGAGAGAGAGAGAGAGAGAGGAAAAAGCAAGCTTCTTTCTTCTTTCGGTTATCAGCTTGCTTTCTTTCTTTCTTTCTTTTAGGCTTTAAGCTTTGAGCAGCCTTTTTATCAGCTTTCCTTATTTCTTTCTAGAGACCCTCATCTGCATCAGGTATTGCTTGTAGAGGCTCCTTAATAAACTTTCAAAAGGAGAGAGAGAGAGAGAAAGGACCAATCACTTTGATCGAAACTTGATCCCACAGCCACAAATATGGGCCAGAATGAAAAAAACATCCCCACGAAGAAACAAAAGGACTCATAATTCAGCTTCTACAGACACAGTAATTTTTATTTTATTTATTTTTTTCTTTTCTCTTTTGCATGATTAATACATACAGGCCTGCACTCCAAATACACGTACGCTCCCCATTTTTGTCATCATTTCCATGCTGCTACTGGTCACAAGAAAAAGAAAAAAAAAAAAAAAAAAAAAAAAAACTAATACAATACAGGCCTTGCAACTTTCCAAATACACGTAACGGCCGCGCTCCCCATTTTTGTCTCATTTCCATGCTGCTACTGTGTACACAAGAAAGAAAAAAAAGAAAAAAAAAAAAAAAGAACACCCATAGAGTACAATACCATAAAAAAAACAGCAATATACCAATCATGTATTCAGTCGATTTATTTTCTTTTCGTCTTTTAAGAGAATTCTAGAAATGTAGGAGAGTATCTAATATTCTCGATTTTGAGTTTTTTCTCCTAATATTGGAGCTTCCCTTACTATAAACATTATTTTCCCAATTCTAGAGTAATTACTACCATAAAGAAATAGAAAAATTTTCTATATAAATCTTCTATTCATTACATCATCAGATTTAAATGATACTTCCTTATATCAAAAACAATTGGATTTAATTGTAAATAAAAAAAAAAAAAAAAAAAAAAAAAAAAAAAAGAACTTACCTGCATAGAGTACATACCATAAAATAAAACAGCAATATACCAATCATGTATTCAGTGATTTATTTTCTTTCGTCTTTTAGAGAATCTAGAAAATGTAGAGAGTATCATATCTCGATTTTGAGTTTTTCTTATATTGGAGCTTTCCTTACTATAAAATTATTTCCAATTTAGAGTAATACTACCATAAAGAATAGAAAATTTCTATATAAATCTTTATAATCATCAGATTTAAATGATTTTTATATAAACAATTGGATTTAATTGTAATAATAATATTTGCAATTTGTAACATAGGTTAACAATGTATTAATATTATTATTATTATTTAATTTTTATTATTAAATATAGAATTAGTTTTACGAATAAAAAAATTACAATTCAAAATTTCTTAAAGAAAATATAAATTAAAAAGATCGATTCTCCTATTTAAAAAACTATGTTTGATTCATTTTTCTCTTTAATATTATATTCCTTCTCAAAATAGAAAAAAAATTAGCTAACTATAAAAATAATTTTAAAATTATCACTGTTAAAATGATAAGACATTAATTAATTATTTAAGAAAAAAAAGTTATATACATGAAAAAAATATTAAATAGTAATATTAACCGTGCATTTAGTGATTTTCTTTCTTACATCTTTAAGACGATATGAAAAGTGAGAAGTCTCGTATTCGAGTTTTTCTTACCATAAAATTACTACCAATGTAATGCATACTCCCTCCGTCCCAAGAAATAATCCACTTTCTATTTTCACACAGATTAAAAAGTAGCTATTATTATGGTTAAAAGACAATTTTATTTATATAACTTTTCTATTATCTCTATCTTATATAACACATAAATAGTTATTTTATTGGAATAATAAGTAAAAATTTAGTGAGGGTCATTGAAAATAAGATAAATTTAATAAGGATATAATAGACAATTTAATTATTAACTATAACATAAAAAAGAAAAGTGGACTATATTTAAAAAAAAAAAGAAAAAATGAATTATATTTTTGGGAGGAAGGAACTATATTAAAAGAATCAGGCTGCCACAGTTATTGTAAGAAATGAGACAAGTAATGAAAAGCATCTGACTCAAAATACTTGAGTATTTTCCCTGCTTAGGTACAGTAAGGAAATTAGGAATTGAATATTTGTCGATTTACCGAACTACCCCCTTTTATGATGACGCTGCAGTAATATTAATTAATTATAGATCTGTAGCAGCTTTTCTAAAGGTAATATTGAGTATGACAAGTCACCCTCATGGGCACATTAGTCAAAATGAAACAAAGATTTTATTTTCGGAAAGAGAAAGAAAGAAACGCCTTATGATAGAGGTAATTTAATATATAAATGTGCGTCTAACATTTAATTCCTTATTTTCTTTTTTATAACCTCCTTTTTATTTTCTTTCAAAGAGTTAGAAATTTCAATCTTATAGTTAATGTTAAGGGCTGTTTGATTTAACTACTCATACTAATTGATAAATGATAGCGATTTTCGATAGTTGATGATATTAGTGTTTAATTGGTAAAATTTTGGTATTGGTTATTGTTAAAAAATAAAATGATCATTTAAAAATATGATTGCTTTTATATATGATGTTATATAATGTATTTTTTTAAAAAAAAGATTATATGGTAAACATATTATTTTTAATTTATTTACAAATTTATAATGTATAATGCATAATAAATATTTTTATTTGTAATTAATTTATTAATAATGCGTAATAATGTATAATAATTTATTAGTAATAATTTTATAATGTGTCATAATTTTATTAGTAATTATTGTTATAAGGTTAATGAAACCCAAACATATGAAGAAAAAGAAAAACAAATATATGATACAAATACAAATTAGTTATCAGCTAATAGGAAAAGTTAAAAACACAACTAAGGGAATGAGCAACTCATTAAACTTTTATATGCTATAGCTGCTCTTTAAGAAGGCATTTGGTTTAGGTTATTGATGCACCAAATAGATAAATGATATCCAATAGCTATATTGTAAGTATTTGAAGAATTTTTTACTCAGTAATTGGTTGATAGAAATCTGAATTGATTACTAATTCCATTAGTTATATTTTGGCACTTTTGCGATTTTTACTTATATTATATTGTAATTCATCAATGTCATAAAATAATTAGTGATAATTTTTAATAATTTTTTGAGATTATTTTATTTATGGTTATTTAAAAATAACAAATTCTATTAAATATTATTTAACACTTTTAATTAATATTTTTCTTTTATATAATACATTAAATAAAAATATAATTATTCACTTTAAAAATTTTAAAAAATAAATATTATACATCATAATATATAAAAATAATTATATTGTTAATGGACATTTTACTTTTTAACCGCATCCACTACCCAAATTTTACCAAACACATTCATCAACTAATCACTAGGAGCCACTTGTCACAATCTATCAAAAAACTGCTATAAGCTAATATGAACGGTTAAAGTAAACCAACCTTAAAATCTTTATCTAACACTTACAAATTAGCTGTTTGACAAATTTTTTTTATCAATAGCCAATTACTAATAGAAGTCTCAATAGTTACTGATTCCATCAACTACTTTTTTTGAGCTTTTTTTTTTGTTATTAGCTGCTATTTAATTTGTATTATATATCAACCTTAAAAGAATTATTATCTGAAAAAAAAAATTCTTTTAATATAATTTTTAAAAATAAATTCACCCATTAGTTGGAAAAAAAAAAAAAGCTGAAAAACTTACTCACTCGTATCTTTATTTATTTGTAAGCTTAGGAAAGGTTATTATAACAGCTATGTACGGTGAATCATAATAAAAAAAACGTAATTTAACATTTCTAGTGTTTTTTAGAAACATTATTACATTTGTTGATAAACAAAAGGGAAATTTTAAGTTCATCCAATTGTAAATTTAATTATATATTAAAACAAAATGAATTGTCTCGACAAGATGTTTCAACATCAAAATTATTTTTATTTAAAGGCTTGAGATCTCTAAAGGGTTTTCAAATTTGAATTTCAATAATTCAATATAAAAAAAAAAGTTTAATTATGAAAAGGAGGAGAATTATTTATATTTGTGTAATTCATTCATTGAACAAAAAAAAAAATAATGATTGGAGAATTTGGCTCATTTTTGGAACAAATTTCTAGTCCAAAAATAAATCATAGGAAATATATATGGTCCAAAAGTTATTATTGGGGGTATGGTTCAATATTCATCATTGAAAATTGGCTTTAATATTTGAATCGAAGGCTTGTGATTTAAATCTCAATTAATAACGAGTTAAATAGCTTGGCTACATTATTATGCTAATGAACCCTCTTTCTTTTCGTTTGTTCTTTTCCTTTTTTATTATTTTTAGGGTTAACTAGTTTGTGGGCCCGCATGATGCCGTGGTAAATTGTTTTTGCAGCGACTAAATTTATATAATCAATAATTTTATAATTTATATTAAACTTATAATAATTTATACAGAACAATTTATAATTTTTATCTATGCATGGAGAAGTTGATATAAGTAAATAATAATTATTAATAAGCAGTTATGAATATATTCATAATAATTTTAATTGTTATTTTTTATTTCTCTATAATAGAAAAAGAACTATAAGATTTCAATTCTTGAAAGGGAAAAAAATTATAATTAGTTAACAGTTACTTACAACTTTAGAAACATGGTGTTACACATTTGAGAAGTAAAATAATGGCAGAAAAAAAAATTAAATAAGGGCTAAAATTGTTTATAAATATTTAAGACACCACACAAAAGAAATTATAAAAAGAAAAAAGCAACTAGATTATGTTTCGTTTGATATTTTTGTCAAATGATTATCAAACTTTAGATCAGAAGATCAACTAAAACACACCAACATGTACAATATTTATAGTAAAATTATGTATCATAAACCGATTATTTTTCATTTGATGGCCCTAAAATTTACACACCTGATTATGTTAGATATATTATAAATGTGAAAAAAGATAATAAAATATCAATTACAAATATAATAGAATATCAATTACCTCACTAACTCCAAGGATATAAGCTGAGTTTCATGTTAGATTATTCCAACTTATAGATTTAATATAGTAAGTATTAAATTTATACACGTATAGATTGAAGAAAGATAGAAGGAAAAGAGTAGTATATTTTCGCGAGTATTTTCAATTAGTTGAAGTTGGTTGATTTTATAGACAAAGAACGACAAACATGCGAAAGGTAAAAATTATGACAAACATATATACTTGGTAAGTATGCAAAGGTTAAAAATGTGAAAATTATACATTTGATTT